TATATTGAAGATTACCAATAAGAAGGACTGTTACTGTATTTGTTGATAGCGTATGTATTGAAGATAATCAATAGGAAGGACTGTTACTGTAATTGCTGATAGTGTATGTATTGAAGATAAACAATAGGAAGAACTGTTACTGTATTTGCTGATAGTGTATGTATTGAAGATAACCAATAGAAAGAACTGTTACTGTATTTGCTGATAGCGTATGTATTGAAGATAACCAATAGGAAGAATTGTTACTGTATTTTCTGATAGTGTATGTAGTGAGAATAACCAATAGAGTGGACTGTTACTGTATTTGCGGATAGTGTATGTATTGAAGATCACCAATAAAAAGAACTGTTACTGTATTTTCTGATAGTGTATGTATGAAAGATAATCAATAGGAAGGACTGTTACTGTATTTTCTGATAGTGTATGTAGTGAGAATAACCAATAGAGTGGACTGTTACTGTATTTGCTAATAGTGTATGTATTGAAGATAACCAATAGGAAGAACTGTTACTGTATTTTCTGATAGTGTATATGTAGTGAGAATAACCAATGGAGTGGCTTCTGCTGTAACTTGTAATATTGAATTTAGTGAGAATATTCAATTGGTTTAACTGTGATGATAATATGATGTAGTTAAACACTTTGTCGAAAATATTGATTGTTTAAAGCTGTATCATCAGATATATATTATTTGTATCATTTGACGTATGGTGTCGTATGTACCACAAATGAATCAATTAGGGTATTCGCAAGATATCTGGGTTAAGATTGTTCGCAAACAGCCGAACATTGCCGAGCATTTTGTAGGTTCGGCCCTGATCGAATTTTTAGCAGCTTGGGGTTCAACAAGTCCAGTGAACGTCTCTCTAATGCGGCCTGCCCATTTTTTCTAAAAAGTTGATAAGAAACAAGTCAGGGATTTTGTTTGATGAACATCCACATCTCTAGTTGTCCTGTCCTCTTCTTTCTAAATTTATACATGTTATAAGCGATTTCACAGCATCCGTTGCTACTGCATCCAGGAAATCATAGAATATGAAACATTTCATATTTGTAACGCTAGTTGTGTTGAGCATGTTCCAAAGCAAGATTCAAAACAGCGTTACATTACATATAAGATTTTAAGTATGAGGTATTCCAGATAAAGAAAAATCAACCAGTTTCTAACACGCTTAACTCGCGGGCGCCGAGCTTGGTGCATCTAATTCATCTAATTCCGTATTTTTAAGATTAGATTAAGTAATAGTAGGGGACCATTTGTGATATCAACATTCATTTTGTGTAATTTCAATCACGTTTCACTAATTGTACGAGCATTTCGCATACTCACCTTAACAAGTGTATAACGATCATCGTATACTCATTGTTTTCAGCTTTCAGGTTACAGGGTTTAGAAGTTAGAATAGGGGACAGTCGAAACTTTACGCAGAATGACCGCTGTGGTGTTAAACCAATCCCGTTCAGGACAGCTAAAAATGAGACGATCACTATCAAATGCAAGTGCCAGCGGCCATTAATAGGACGTTTTGTAAGCTTACATATCAACGATGATGCACGAACACTCACTCTCTGTGAGGTCGAAGTCTTAACCCGTGAGGACGAGGTGCTGCCAACACTGAGCTGGTTAACAACAAAACCTGCACCAGGAACCACAGAACCTTGTAAGATTAATTTTGTATGGTTATTGTACTTTATCTTCTTTAATCGATGTTATGCATTAATATTCATAGCATATGTATTTTACTCCATGATTAAACAAAACGAGTGTATAACTAAATATAATTATATTAGAGCGTTCACGCACAGCTCTTAGCCCGTGCTAAGGGTGAATGCTCAGCACGAGCTAAGGAACGCTAAGTACGAATTAAATCTGACCGTTTCAAAGACCCGGTCCAGTTATTTAGCACGGGCTAACGAAGTGTGCGTGAACATTGTATTCAATGTTCATTTGGAAGATTTACTATTATATTCATAATTAATCATTTCGACATGCCATTTTTCAACATGACAATCAATGCGAGAACATGTAGGGACATTGTTCCTTGAGAAAACTTAGCCCCTACTTCGTATAGCTACATATAATATTTCGCTTTATTTATTCAGGCGAATACGTTTTACTAATCATCCCGAAGTTTCAAAACTATTTCAAAAAAAAAACTATCATCACAACAAACCCATTCTCTTTTAATTTTACAAATATTTATAAATTTTACATTTTAAATTTATTTCTTTTGGCTGATGTATATGGTATATTTTCTTATGACGTCATTGTGCCCAGTGCCCATTGACTGGGTGATTGGTTCCACTGCCATTTAAATATTCAAATATTTATAAAAAAAAGAAGAGAATGGGTTTGTTGTCTCGGTAGTATATACCACAAAAAAGTGTGTACCAGCCAACTAACTAGAATATAGAGACGAGCAATTATGCCTTCGTTCAAGGAACATTACATAGTCTTACATTTTCTGTTATATCTGCATGCATAAACATATACCATATATTATATCTGTGCAGTGGTTTACAGCACCGTGTTAGTGGGGAATTATGTGTGTGACAGAAGTAGTAACTAAATATTATAATACAGATGCGAAATGGTAAAAACGTAAATTCTCTCAGCCAATCGTAGACAAGTAATTATTAACTGTATCATTTCATGTATTGTCCGCCAGCTTGCCTTCCCCCTGAAGGACTTCTAAACGTTGCAATGATGAACCTTGCTGTTACACAAAGCTCAGTAAAAGCCGATGGAACCCCGGATAAAGCAATAGATGGAAACACAAATGGGAACTATTCCGAAGGCTCTTGCACTCGTACAGAATACGAAACGAGTCCGTGGTGGCTGCTCGATTTTGGAGTGTCCGCTGATATCTATCAAGTTAGCATATCAAACAGGATAGACTGCTGCTGTAAGTGCTTTTACACGTGACCTTGAACTTGAGCTGTGGTTTATTCGCATGCTGGTGCAGACACAGCAGCTACGGCTAATACATAATACTTTCTTACGAGCTAATTCGTGAGGTTTGGTCTAAAATTTTATTCATGAACCGATTTTTTTGGCTATTCTGTCTCATATAATGAAACATAATTACAGAAAGCCCGGGAAGTCGCTATATTTTAAAATTGATTTTTGAGTATGTTCCAACAATGACAATGCTCCGAAATTTTAACACTATCTAGCCAAGACTGTCTAGATGAGAAAAAGCAAAAAAAAAAAAAAAAAAAAAAAATCACGAAAAGTGCCCACGAACCTGCATCTCTACCTTAAGATTTGTTTGACTTCATTGTAAAAATAAAAGTATGTAGGATGGACACTTTTTGAGGTCAAAAACCCCCCACCCCCAAACTAAAGCAAATAAGTTTTTTATCCGACATCGATCTTTTGACATCTTCCCTAAATTATATTGTTTTTCAATATAGAGACGTATTGTTATTTTAATGATTTTCTACGATTGTAACAATCTTGCTTCAGCATACAGATTGAAAGGGGCTTCCGTTCACATTGGTGACAACATGAACATCTCAGCTAACCCGAAGTGTGGTGACACTATCTATGGCGCCGCCATGCAGGATTCGACGATACAGTTAATATGTAACTGTGGTCTACCATTGTCTGGACGCTATGTGGGAATACACATTCAGGATAAGGAGCAAACACTGACGCTATGTGAAGTGGAAGTTTGGGCATTGGAAGAAGTAGTCCCTCCAACGATTCCACCGATTATTACAACCCAGACACGTAAATATATTACTTTATTCGTGTAGGTTCCCGTTGCACCGCGCATGCGCGACATTTGTGTTGATAAACATCGATGTTCCCACAATCCAATGCGCGCTTTTAAAGAAAATCACAAGAATTAGGTTTGACCTGGGCGTGGCTTGCACTAATTGCCGCCGGTGACTCTATCACTACCTTCCAATCACCTAAAAATCCTAATTAAAGCCTGGCAACGTCTCAGTTTATTCTCATTGATATGTGCCAAAGGCAAATACGCCATTTTTGTTTATATGAGACCCATATCACGCGCATGCGTGGCGCGACGACCACCGCTTGTAATGTGAGGAAATATGGTGACAGCGAGCAGTCTATTCCAAGCAAGAATTGCAGAGTGTTCAGTATTAACCCACAGATTGTTCAAGAGTTTGATCTTGGCGGAAATTATTCCCAGTCTCAAAAGTCGGATTTCAAGACAACTTCATTTGTCATCAAATTGCACGCACTCACACATGCCACACTAAGTCTGTAGACATGAAATATTTGTAATATTTTACAGCGTGTGATGTATACCCTGATGACTTAGTGAATGTCGCCACCGGACGACCTGCTATGCAGAGCTCAACGGAATCATTCGGTAATGCCGGGAACGCGGTAGATGGTAACAAGAATAATAGCTTTAGTATGAAATCTTGCACAAAAACGAAGGCAGAAAACGAGCCATGGTGGACCGTAGATCTCAGGAAAACACGGGAAGTATTCCACGTAACCATCACGAATAGATATGATTGTTGCTGTAAGTAGATGACAATATTGTTTTGATTCCACTTCCCTCCCTGTCTAGTTATGTAGCGGGCCTTCCTGGTATTGTATCTATATGACCACTCTTCTTTGCAGAGTCTTCGAGCTTGTGATCTGACCTCGGGAGCCACAGAGAGCCGCAACGAGTGGGGGCGTTCCTTTTCGACAACCTAGCTTAGTGATAAAAGACTTAAGTCTCTGCGAAAGAGAATGCACATGACGCCTCTCGCCCTTTGCATTATTCAATAGCGGGAGTTAGAAACACTTTTCTAAGAGAATTCATAGGATTTTCAGAAAGGAAAAAAAAATATGCCTAACGCAGAGGTCACGTGTTCGAGATCGGCGTATAGATATGGGCATCACAAACAGAGATGGTTACTGGTTGGATGAAGTTGCACTAACTTATTAATATTAATTAACGTTTGACGATGTCGCCATATCGCTTCAATTTGAATTCTACCAGACATTCACAGTAATTGCAGAAATATTTTTTTTTGCTTTCAGCTTTCAGACTTAGAGGTGCTGAAATCCGCATAGGTGACTCCAGGAACATTACTGCCAACACTCGATGTGGGAAGTATATTACGTCAGAGGAGGCGCAGACGGAAACTATCGACGTAATCTGCAACTGTGGAGAGCCAATCAGTGGACGATTTGTTAGTATACACCATATAAATAAGACGCAGATTCTGTCTCTGTGTGAGGTTGAAGTCTGGGCGACCGGTCCCAGTCACTTCACGACACTTGTACCGTTTACAACAGTTACGACAGAAACATGTAGGTATTATTTGGTTGTATTAAAAACAATATTTACCATCACGATGAAAATATGATTACCATGGAAACGCGTTCTGCGTTTCTTCATACCTACTGTACCATGAAAATATTAGTATGGCAGAAGCCTTCTCAATGGTTTATTGTACAAACCACGGAGCTATAGTTCCGCGACTACGTGTATTTTTGTTATACGGTGTCGAATGTGTTACTACTGGCTAAATATTATACAATAATTGTACAAGAGTAATTTAAGAAAAAAAATATCACAATGGTTTGAACACATTTGCACACAAATATGCTGTTTTTTTATTTGTTAAAGTATGTGACGCCGTCCCCGATGACCTAGAAAACGTGGCCATCGGACGACCTGTAATGCAGAGTTCAACTGTCTCCTTTGGTAAGGCAACGAATGCTGTAGATGGCAACACAAACAGCAATTTTAGCAAGGAGTCATGCACGAAGACCCAAAAGGAGTTCGAGCCATGGTGGGTCGTAGATCTCAGAAGAACACGAGAAGTCTTCCATGTGACTATCTCAAATAGATTTGATTGTTGTTGTAAGTAGGTGCAAGTAATAATGCAGTTTAAAGCGGGAGGGTCGTCACCTGCGCACGCATGGGAATTGAGTCCCAAGCGATGATAGCAACACACGCTAAAAACGCAAAGGCTCATGGGTAGACGCTTGTTTGTAAACAATGAAACGCTATGGCCATTTGACGCACGCGCAGGTGACGACTCCCCCGATTTAATATTGTTCTCAGCTTCATGGTAGTAGGAAGCACCTTTTTACTAGCATCGTTCATTTTCACCATATATATGTTTGTCAGAACCGATCATTTGTTTGTGAAGTGAAACAAGCACTGTTTTGTATACAGTGCAATAAGGAACGCTGTACCGTAGTTTATAAACTTATTTATAACAACTGGTAAATACCGATAATCAGCTTTCATTTAAATTTAAATATATAATAATGATTGGCTATATTGTCTACGCCAATAATACACGCGCAAGCCTTCAAGTGACATAGCAACTGGGACCGCACACTTATTCAAATGAAGCGTGCTTATTGGATAAAGATGCACTATCTTATTAATATTAATTAAACTCGTGATGCTGTCGCCATATCGTTTCTGGATTGTTAAATTTGAATTCAATCTGATATACGGATTTACGCCTTTCACGGTAATTGCTAAATTCTTTTTTGCTTTCAGCTTTCAGACTTAGAGGTGCTGAAATTCGTATAGGTGATTCCAGGAACATCACTGCTAACACTCGATGTGGGAAGTATATTACGTCAGAGGATGCACAGAAAGAAACAATCGACGTAATCTGCAACTGTGGAGAGCCAATCAGTGGACGGTTTGTCAGTATACAACTTACCAATAAAACACAACCGCTGTCCCTATGTGAAGTTGAAGTCTGGGCAGTCGGCCCCAGTCACTTTACAACCCTTGTACCACCAACACTAGCCACGACAGAAATATGTAAGTAATGCGATATTGCTGCGGCGTATTGTTTCTACTTCGCTATTATATCGCTAATATAACTTTTGGGAAATCCATCAGTGATATCTACATCTATGAAAAAAATGTAATTATGCAAACATCCTTCAAAATGTTCGTCAAATTTCTTTTATTTGGAGGTTAAACACGCCACTAACATTGCGACTTCAGCGCTTGAAGGAGTTAGAATCCCGTGATTGTAAACTGTTTTTTCTCGGTATTTTGGCTTTTATCTCCTGCTAAATTATTACTACAAGTATGAAAATTATGTATAATGATAAGGTTATCACAACAATATCGAAAGGTGGTCACAAAGGCAGTAACTACGCGTTAGTCAACACGTTCACCGCTCTGTCCCGGTGTTGCATTGACAACGACTATATACATCTAATTCTTTCACTCTTTGAAAGCCTTTGAAAACTAAAACGGCATTATTCCAAGAAAAAAATATACTTACATCATAGGATCATATTTTCTAAACTAGCTACGCTACAATTGGTATTTAGCGCGCACTGCATCAACCAGAGGCAGCATTGTCATTGTGCACAATTAATATAATGTAAAATACAACATATTTATGAAAGAGACCTTATTTCAAATTGCTGACGATAACTCGTAGAGAGAGAGAGAGAGTCAAGTGACTTGTCTTCGTCCCTTTAAATAATGTTAAGTTCTCTGTTGTCATTGTGTCCACTGTTTGCTCCACCTATGTAACCGTGAAATTCGAGAAAATGGCGGTAGAGAATAGAATATTAGTTAGGGGCAAAAAAAAGTCTCATGACTCTGAACGAGAACTCGGCGGCCATTTGAGAATAGGGTATATTGTAACAGGGTAAACTTTCGTTTTAATAGCTGTCACACTGCGCTTGAATTAAGGTTTAGTATGTGTATTGTAGAAACCACACAGCACTAATAATTACAAGTCGGGTACGATTTCTTACATGCCCTTGCACACACATATCGGATAGTTTTCCTTCATAACGTGTTTTTGTCGTTAATTTTATACCAGCTTGTATCGTTCCTGATGGTTTGATCAATGTAGCTACCCTCAAACAGGCGAGACAGAGTTCGTATCAACGGGACGCAGATGCAGACAGAGCGGTGGATGGTAACCATGATAGTCATTTTCTTGGCCGATCATGTACCATGACAGACCGAGAACAAAATCCATGGTGGCTAGTGGACCTCAGTGCATCACGGGATATCTACCACGTGACAATCACCAACCGAGTGGATTGTTGTTGTAAGTTCTCGTTATCGTTTTTTATGTCAACTGGCTGTAAAATAACATTTTAGAAGTTATGCTTTTCGTACAGTTCTTAGTATATGTTTTAATCAAAAACAAGTTAAGATAGATTGCACAATGTTTTGTTTTCGAGTATCGACTCGCTGTTTCTGTTTTCCGATATTCGTTTCGAAACTAATTAACAAAGACACGCATCATGGTATTATATGAATGCGAATATGGTAATTTTCAGTTCGTGAGAACTGTCTTACTATAATTTATCAGCAACTTATCTTACTATTGTGATGAATCTTTACTGTAATGTCACAGACGTCACGCATTTCTTATACGCGACTATAAGTCATTTTATATGCGTTTTACAACTGTGTTATGTAAAGCGATACCAATTCCCTACTAATTAATTACAGAAATGGTTTTAAGATTTTTGTCGCTTACATTCACGCCCTTTTTAAATCAAGGCAATCAAATACAATGACTTTTGCTGTCCCAAATTTGAAAATAATAATTTTTGATCATTATGCTTTCAACTCAATCTTCACTTTCTATGGTATTTTCTTTTATTTCTTAATTAATGGAGAAAGAAACAAACGTTCTATTGTAGAGTATGTTGTTTATAGTGGGGTATTTTGTTTGAATACGAAAATGAGTAATTTGACGTTACGCATGTTTTGTATTCGACTTTGCCTAGGCTCCTTTTATCACGATAAATATACGCGATTCAAATTGACACGGATTTATATCCGTTCAATTATGTATATTATCATTACACAGCTTTTCGATTGAGGGGTGCAGAAATCCGCATCGGAGACAGCGAGGTTTTATCGGAGAACAGCAAATGTGGCGACAAAGTGACTAGCGAGAGTGCGCAGAAGGAAGTCATTGACGTCATCTGCAACTGCGGAAAGCCAATCAGTGGAAGTATTGTCAGTATACATATCGAAGATCGGACACAGATTTTGACACTGTGTGAAGTAGATGTCTGGGTGTCTGGGAGTGTCACAACGGACGCTCCTAAACTCACAACAGTTCCACGTAAGATGAATTGTTTTCAAACCAGTTGTTTATATATAACACTACACGCACATATGAGGGATATCTCAGGAGGAGAGTTGCATCGGTAATTATTCATAAAAACGCCATTAAATTCCATGTTTCTTCAGAGAAATTGTGTCTCAACAGGAGACCCTTATCATAGGGAATAATAAGTGAATATTTTTTGAAGAAACACGAATGGTCTACATCTAGCTATTTGGCCAAATTTTTACAATCTATCGGCCACGATCATCAATACTGTAAAATTACTAATTTTCACTGGGTTTAAATTTCACAGATTTAGCTTTTCAGGCATATTCAGTGGGTTTTAAATTCACAGTTTAGATAATGTGTTCTATGGTTTTAATTTAGCGCATTTTTCAGTCAGCGAAATAAGCAAAAATAAAACCCAGTGAATAATTAAAGCGGGAGGGTCGTCACCTGCGCACGCGCGGGAATTGAGTCCCAAGCGATGATTACGAAACACGCTAAATACGCAAAGGCGTTTCTAAACAATGACACAATGTCCATCTGACGCGTGACGACTCCGCCACATTAACCCTTTTACAGTAATTCGATGTATTTTGTGTACACTCCGGAATATCCAATATAGTAATTTTATTTTAAATGGTTTTCATTTTTCAGCCTGCATTTCACCAACTGGGCTAGTTAACATCGCAATCGGACGACCCGTGCGACAAAGTTCAACAGATTGGCCAGCGGTCGCTGAACGGGCTGTGGATGGTAATAAAAACAGCAATTACTCCGGAAAGTCGTGTTCAAGTACAACTGATGAGTTCGCGCCATGGTGGCAGCTTGATCTTGGAAAGTCTCGCGATGTTTACCACGTGACTATAACAAATCGATATGACTGTTGTTGTGAGTACGCTTGTTGCGTTGTGATTGTGTCATTCTTTGAGTGTATGTGTCACTTCTGCTTGTTGTTTAGCTACTCTTCACCTTCGCTAATTTCAAGATCAAGTCAATCTAACAAGTCCATTAGAATTATTGTGTGATCGCTAAACTCACTCTAAATTCATGCGTTCAAACAAAGTCGCTAAAATAACAGTGTTATTATCTAGTTTATTTATTTATTTATTTATTTATTTATTTATTTATTTATTT